TCGATATCTTGTGCTATTTGCAGTTAGATCTCTGAAATTGTTTAATTTTCTATGATATTTAATGAATTTTGCAAACTATGCTCCCATTAAAATTATTTATAAACTGAATTTGCATTTTTCAAAGCTTAACGCAAGCATTACCAGACTATGGCCGGCTATATCCACAGTCGATTCTTGTGTATTTAAGATTGTCTTAAAAATACAGTCTTAAAATGTCATAAATCAATCGCAAAGCCGTATTAGCATCTTAAGATGTTATTTAAGACAATTTTAAAATAAAAGAATTGACTAGGAATACTAGCCTATTAGTACAAAGCATTTTATAGCATTTTTTTGGAAGTTAACGAGAGAGTTAAATGGACCATTTGGCGATCTATAATAAGCTCGTTAACTGTATATATATGGTCACAATATGTATATACATAGATTTTCAGCCAGGCATGTTCCACGTCATTATAATTTAAGATTTGGAAGCGTTCCTAAAAGCGCACGGTGGATCACTCTTTTCTGTAAAAGATCGCAAGGATTGCGATCATTTGCTTATGCCTATGTTTAGATTGAACCTTGCGCGTTTGCCGTGAAACTTATAATTTCATTCTGCCACATACCACTGAAATCAAAAAGTGCAGTTAATTAAACTGCACGCTTTGAATATATTGGAATAATAACTACTACGAAACAAGGTTCACACTCGCTTCCCTTTCAAAATTGCATTTAACATTCTCTTATTCTGGGTCTCTTATTTTTTATTTAAAACTAGAATTTTAAATAAAAACACTTGGAAAATTTGCGAATTCCAAAGATTTTTTTACGAGAGTTAACATTCTGTAGTATATAAGTTGTAATTCTCTTAGTATCTCTTGTGTGTGCTTAGTTCTTTTGATGCAGTATTTTTATCGAGTAACCTTAAGTAAATATTTTTTAACAAAACGAATGGAGAGATAATGTTAGACACTCACTGTGTATTAGGCGCGAAAAATAGAAGAACATAAAAGAAAAAAGGAACGGAAGGCGCAAGAAAAATTGGAGCGCGAGAGACAAGAAAGATTGCAGAAAGCGCGAGAGGCAGCCAAAGCACGTGAGGAAAATACGCGAACTTCTCAAACGGATGCGGGAAATACATCCCCTGGCGCAGGAGATTTCTTTAAGTTTCTTAAAGATCCTGAACTAATTCAAGCTTTTGAGGTAAGTTGCGAGAAAAAAAACCATAGTCTTTTTAATAAGTTGACAATATCAGTCATGCTCTTTTTTTTCTGGAAAATATAACGAGTTACACATGCTACTGCATAGAAAAATGTGAAATAACGCAAAAATATTTCCCGATATTGAAACTTCATTAATTTTAGTATACGTATATGTGTTTGGTTTAAGTGTATACATTTGCAATTAGCTATTTTTTAAAATAATAGTTAATTTTAAATAATAGTAAAACAGTTTTTTTTTTTAATAAAAGTTATTTTGTTTACAGATTTTATATAATGATTTAAAAGTTTCAAATTACTTTTTTAATAAACAGTTATTGAAGATATTTTTTATTCCCGCTCATATCTGAAAGCTACAAAAATGACTATCTCTGAACATATAGATTTTACAGTTTTTACACATTTTAGAATATTAAAGAAAGATCTACATAATTTTTAACTTTAAAGGACCAATTTTAATCGCGTTTTAAACTTATCAAAAATAAATATTCCATGTTCAAGCATATATTTCTTTTTTTTACTTTTAAAAAAGGAAATAGTAATAAATTGAATAGAAATAAATGATTTAGTTAAGATTACGAGAAATTGAGTAGAAATTAAATATATAATTTTTCGCGTATAATCGATAATCGCGTATAATTTTAATGAATCTTGATGTGCAACAATGATGCGCAACTTGATTGTTTTTATGAATGAATATGTAGGATCCAGAAATGGCCGAAGCCTTCAGGGAGATCTCTACGAATCCGACGAGTATCCTCAAATATCAGAACAATCCCAAGATAATGGCCCTTATCAATAAAATGGCTTCGAAATACGGCAGTGGTTGCTGTAATCCTGGCGCTGCCGGGATGAATTTCCCGGGCGGTATGCCTGGTGCTGAGGCTGGTCGTTCTGATCCCTCGAAATCGTCTCCTCATGATGACGTTGGTCTCGACTAATCGTGATTTAATTACTGTACAACGAATACGGAGAGCGTATCATCTCGGTTAGTTGACTCATTAAAGGCTGATTTATGTTAATTTTCCTTTAACATTGTGATGAGTGTTAAGAAAGAACTTATATTGGAAAGAACTGATAATTTATAAGGGATCTTTTAAACATAGAATTAATGTTAGCATGCGTCAACAGGATCCCGAAGATGTCTGTATTCTTGTTGTTTGTTGTTTCTTTTTTGAATTATCTCCAGTCTGATTTTGGATTACTTGTCTCACTTAGATTTCTGGAAATTATTTCTGTTCTACTTTTAAATTAATATAGAATTTTTATTAAAGATGCATTATTTCAGAGATAAAATGGGCGCCTTTAATGAGTTAAAAAAATGCTAATATTTGTTTATCACACGCGTGTGTGTGTGTGTGTGTGTGTATACATATAAAACCACATAGCATATACAGGGTGAGGAAAAAATCCAGTAAAATATCTCGAAAATAAAGCATTTTTGAAAAAAGTATTTCATACAAAAATTGTAGATCATTTTAAAACTCTACAACTTTTGCATGAAATATTTTTCTTAAAAATGTTTTATTTTCAAGGTATTTCACCGGTTCGACTTTTTCCTTACCTCGTATACACACAAACAATATACATCAGTGATATGTCTATATCTTCGAAAGAACTTTTACTGTGAATCAATATAGTTTGTTATATATTACAGAGCGCTCTTTGATTTTTTAAAAATGAATTTATTATATATATGTTGCATTTCATTACCTTTAATGCCCCTGTATCGTACTACGTTAGCCTGATCAAACAGTTTCTCAGATAGGTATGTTTTCGTGTCATAAACAAGTCAAATATATTCGATTCGCAAAATCGATATAACACATGTAAGTATTCTTTTTTATTCTATTATCTATGTATAATTGTTGAAATTTAATTTTTAACATTTATCTTGCTTAATATTCCTATATCAGTGCCGTTAATAATATTATTTATCGCCATTGTTAATAATATAATTAATCGCCATCGAATTTATTAACCGCAAGAAAAATAGAAAATTTAGTAAATTACACATTAAATTATTTAACACTAAAATGACACGCTGAGTATGATACACTCATTTTTTTTAAAGATCGATATTTCTATAATTTTGAAAGTTAACTAATCCACCTGACGGAATTGAAAAGCCCTTTTTTGTAAGGAAAGAGCAAATTTTTTAATAATTACGATCGAAAGTTCATATTGGGATTTAATTTGTGATTTTACTATTATATTTCGGTCAGATTTGAATTTCAAGATCGAAAAATCAATTCGGCATAATTTAAAACAACTACATAGATAACGTATAAATTCACATGAAATTATTTAAGTACTTATGATTCAATTTGACTGTTAAAGGCTTTATTTCTTGTTAGTTGTGTATTCACATTGATGATCCTAAGAAATCTTTCGTTTAATATCGTAAAAAATAGTTTTTAAAAATTACTGTTCCCTTTTGTTATTATACTTTATTTTATTAATTAATAAAGTTATATATATTTGTTTGTTATGTTCCTTAATGTCAGGCGTTTCGAAAAAATTTATTATAGTGTATTCATTTTTGTGGAAGTTGTTAGGAATCAAAATTGAATTAGGTATGTCGTACCCAATGTGTCATTTCTGTGACAAAACGTACCGTTTTAGGGTTAAAACCGATTAATATTTTTCGTGACTTAAAGAGGATTAACTAAATCGGCACTGCCTTGCTATTTGTTCGTCCAAAAAATGCAATATATTTGTACGTTGATATAAAATGAAGCATTGGACACGAAATAATGTTATTTTTTCGTACGCGAAATAGATATAAACTGTTGAGTACTTATAAGGTAACAAAATAATGCGACCTAATTTTCTAACTAGACACCGCAAGCAGAACTCCATTTATCACAATCATATTTTGAGAGAGAAACTTCTCAAATTAAGCGTTTACTAAAAATCTTACAAAATATAATAGTCATTAGAGAGATGGTAATTTTCTTTTACTTTATCATAATTAATAATTTGAATGCGAAAATACCTGTTTGCGAACAAATAATCTTAATCATCTTAAGAATATAAACTTTAAGATTTTTTAAATTATCTTGAATACTTTTTTTTTCAAGATAATTGAAGTGAATACTGGCTACGTATTTATTAATGGTAAAACTTGTATAACCCGTTAACAGTAGATCGAATAGTTTTCTATATTATTAATTATATATATTATAT